AAGCAACCAAGGGGAAGCCCGGAGAAGAGGTAATGAGGGCGGGGCCAACGGGAACCCCAACTGGGATAGCCGTGGGGTGAGCGGCAGAAGACCCCAAGCGGGGCTGGTTAACCGAATAAGGGAGCCAGCAGACGGGCCCACAGCATCCCCAAAAAGAGTCAGTCGGGACCCATACGACCTTGGTTGACTGGGACGCCATCCCTGGAGTAGGGTTGAGCCTAGGGGAGAGAGAGGAGCCCCGAGTGGACAAGCAACTGGGTCTGGGGCACTGAGGCACTGGAAAAACACAGGGCCTGTAGACTGAGCGGCTCTCTATATTCCTTTGTGGTCTTCTGGCCTGCCAGTCACATCTCTCTGGCAGTCATGGTGGTGGGGATCGCACGTTGAGTCACAGTGTGGTTGGAATAGGGAGCTAGGGACATGGGATAGACGAATCTAGGACCAAGGGCCTCGGAGCCTTCATGCCTGAGCCGCAGCCCAGGGACACTGGGGCCCGTGGCTGAAGAGCCACGGGAGGCCAGGGTAGAGACCAAGAGGAACCAGGGACGCCAAAGAGCCAGAAGACCCACGACCAAAGGTGGTGAGTGGCCGGGGTGTAGGGGAGGTCGGAGCCCCTTGAGTGCCTGCCGGGAGGCATGACAGCCCTGGAAGCTGCCTCAAAGGGGAACCCCTCCACTATGTTCCATTCAAAGTTGTGGCAGGCATGTTAAGGGGACCCCGGACGTCAGCTGGGGTAGCCTTTGGGGTCCACTCGCAGGCCTGGGACAGACAAGATCAATAGTCCAAGCTAAGGCTGCAAGAGAATGCCTGACAGAGCAGAGGTGGGCACACTGTTCTTTCTGTTCTTCTTCAGGATCAAGTGTTGGAGTGTATGCATTGATGATGGTAGGAGGTGGATTGGTCAGTTGGAGGCAGCGAGTCATGAGGCGCTCAATTAATGCCAACAGGGAATTTGGTCATTTGGCAGACAATCTGATTCTTAACAGCAAAACCAAAACTGTATTCACCCATTGTTTGCAAGTTTCCCTTTCCAGAAGAACATATAGTCACCCCCTTCTCCCTCAGTTGGCCTTCGACTGCACATCTGGTCTCACTGAGAGCAGCAATATCAATGTTGTATCATGAGAGTTCTCAGGGGACAATAACTGTTCTATGCACAGGTCTGTCACTATTTGGGTAATCTAATAGGGCTTGTACATTCCAGGATGCACTCTAACGTCTATGAAATCTATGTCTATGACATTTTTGTGTTTTGATTATCATCTGAATGATTCCCTTGGAAGTACTTATCCAGTTGTATAAGATAAGGTGGGACAGCTTATGTTTGGAGCACCTTTTTTAGCCTCTTCCCTGTGCATGGTGAGCAGAGGGATCCTAAAAAGAACTGCTTAGTCAAGATCACAGCTGCCAAATCACCCTATTGACCTATTCCAAGGGTGAAGTGACCAACATGTGACCGTGTCCTGCCTGCAGATCCATGACTAGGGACTCCTGGCAATCACTTTATCCCCATCACCACTCATCCATCACCACAGGACTTCATAGGCTAGGGACAGATATTCTAAAAGCCAGAGCCTGAATCAATTCAATCTTTGTAGGTTAATCTACCCTGCAGAGCTTGAACTGATTTGCAAATGGATAGACATTTACTTTTGAATCAAGAAATGCAGGCACATACCTGCAGTGGCACTGGCTAGAAGCCAGGGGGTGCTAGAGTGAGCCCTCCCTTCCCTTCCACCATAGATGACTAGTAGGGGGCACACAGGGGTGCATGTGCCCCCACTGATGGGGCTGGTGCCCCCCTGACAACCGACACTGATGCTGTCGGTAGGGTTGGTGCCCCCCCTGACAGGGCTGCTGCCATCGGTAGCTTCTGTGGGTGTCCCCTCCAGATTCAGCAGGCACCAGTCATTCATGCCTTCCACAGTGCTGAGCTGACAGGGGGTCTGGCCAGCCCCCATCAAGATGCTCTGATTAGAGAGGGGTTTAAACCCCCACTCTGCCTGCACAGTCTCCAAGTGGAGTGTGCCTGGAGAAGGGAGGGGGAAGTAGCCCACACCAGGATTTTCCTGGCTCATTGCTCAGAACCCATCCCCTGGCTAGCACTCCAAGGCAAGGTGGGGTGGCGGGGGGGAGGACTGCTTGTGTGGAGTGCATGCATCTGTTGATACTGAGCTTTTCAGTGTCACTCTCCCTGCTTCTTCATACCATCTGCAGCAAACTGACAGGCAAGGCAGCCAGCAGGGAGCTGATAACACAAAGGTTATGAGCTCATCAAGAAAACAAAGGCCTCTCTTTCATTAGTTCAAGCTCTTCTTAAACAGCGTTTTCCAAGAAATGAAAGGAGGGACATTACCAGCTGACCTGTTGATTAGTTCCAAAAAGCCCTAAAAGGGCACTGTTCTGTCTGCCTTTATCCCAGGGAAATTGAAGACGCACACAGACACCTGTGGGGTGGGGAGGGGAAACCCTGCTTGAGAGGCAAGGGGAGGTGGGATAGGGATGGGGGCAAGCCAGGCAGATTCAGCTGTGCCTGCAGTCCCCCACCCCACTTCTCAGCCAGCCAGAGCAGTAATATGCCCTGGCTAGGGAGGAGAGGGGTAGGGCCAGCCCTGCTCTCTGAAGCAGACAGTCCAGCCCGGGGCTGAAAAGCATGGTGGCATGCTGGGGGACTCTGTTTTAACTTAAACCAGGAAGGGGTCTCGGACAGAAGTTCCATAAACCAGTTTGACCCAAATCAGTTCAGTTAAGTCTGACACTACATTCAACCAGGTTTACCTTAAACCAGTTTCAGTCATCAGTTAGGTTTATGTGCAACTTCTGTCCCTAGCCATAGAATTTGTGGGTATTTGTGATGGGTTATTGTGGTAGAAATTGGATCCAGTGAGAGAATGCTGCATGTGACTTTTTTTACATAAGGAGGCCGTTGCACATCAGCAACCACATGGATGTTGGCAGAGGAGAAACCTGTGTCCATTGGCAAGGAGATCCAAGACAACTGCAGTTATTCTTCCACTACAGCCTTCATCCATCTTCTCAGCCTTTGAGAAGTATGCCTTCTTGATGCTCCTGCTCCACCACTGAGGCCTTTGTTATGTTGTGGTGGACTGCCCTTTGTCTGATACCTCACCTTTAACCTTACTGCCATGGGTTACCCTACCAGAAATACAAGACTCCCAATGGTACTGCTCTCAGGGTCATCAGAAGCATTGTTAATCCACTGGTAATAGGTCACACACAGGCACACGCACACACACAAACACATGCACACACCTACATACACGCACACATGCATGCATGCATGCACACTTAAGAAAGATCCCACCTTCACACAAATTTCCCCACCATGAATTAACTAAAAATAACCTTTTAAAGACATCTGTATTAACTGCCTAGATCAGCTCTACGTTCATCACAGTAGGCAAGTATCATGCATAAGCAGGCTGATCAGATAGCCCTTCTAAAGGTAAGGAAGCTGAGACAGAAACAAAGATATTAAATAGTATGCCCAAAGATGCAAATCACAGCTTTGGTAACAGAACCCAGACCTTTCAATCTTGTGCTTTCCTAAGACACTCTGCTTCTTCTTCCCTACTCCAGTAGCCTGAGTTACAACACAACAAAACAAGACAAAATATTAGTAAAACTCCTCTCAGCCTTAACAAAGATGAAAGCTATTTGAATCATTTCTGGGATGAAGAAAGAAGGGAAAGAAGGATTATGGAATAAGAACTAGGTCTGATTTATTTTTAGAATGAGACAATATAAGCAACTGATAACATTGTCTAAAAATACAATTTGGGGGCCTTATATGCCTTGTTCCTCCTCAAAATTCTGACATTTTTACTTAAATATCTTTTTTCCCTTTCCATTTTGAACAAGGCAGCCTTCTGAAACACATTTTTTCCTTTTCATTTCAAGTACAACAGTGGTTGTCAACCAGTAGTACGTGTACCCCTAGGGATACTTAAAAAGGTTCTGGGAGTACAGAGGGGCTCCTGCCACTGCACATGCCCCAGCTGAGGTTTGGGGATCACATGCACCCCCAATCCGTACATGGGGTGGAGACAGCTGCCGCTGCACACTGAGCTTTGTTCACCACTGCAGCTGCCTTGGGAGTGGTGCGATGTCACATGCCTGCCACTGCTGGGCTGCATTGCACCTCTCTCTGCCTGCCCAGCAGTGGGACACACGTGGCATTGCACCACTCCCAGAGCAGGTGCAGCAGCACACAAAGCCCAGCACGCAGCGGCAGTCGCCTCTGCCCCATGTACAGATTGGGGGGGGGCACGTAGTCCCTGGGCCTCTGCCAGGATATGCACAGAGGTGGGAGCGCCCTTGTGCCCCTGGATGAGCCTCCCAGGTTCTGACTGTCCCACAACCTGGCCCAGCTAGAGCCCCATTCACCCCTGCCCCTGTCTGTGCCCCACTCCCTCACCACAGAGGCCTCGATCTGACAGCCACACCCCTCACCCCTGTGGCCCTTTCCCCTCCCCCACAGACTTACCTGCTGGGGTGGCACATGTACACTCAGCCCCCAAAATAATTTTAATATAAAGGGGTACATGAGCTGAAACTGAGACAGAAGCAGCACACTTGTTAAAAAACCTTGAAAACCCCTGAAGTAGAAGCTCCAGCATGATAAACATTACACTTCAAGTAATACCAGAACAAATCTGGAATCACCTAATTGACCTTAGTTGAGTTACTCTAAATTTATATCTGTGCAAGTGCATGAGAGCAGGATCTGACACTATGTTAGGCAAATATAAAAAGGTCTGACCTGTGTTCTTTGACAACAAGAAATATACATGCATGAACAATTCCACCACACTACTGGTTTTGCCACCCCCATTTTAAAGATGGGGAATTTCTCTGATATAAAAGTAGTTTGTTTCTAGCAGCTGAAGCTTAAGTTCATCCAACGTATTTGGTGTATGATATCCAAACACATTTTTTTTTCTATGTAAACATGCATGCAGCTCTGTGCAAATACTCACGGTACCCAAGTTGAGAAACAATAAAGCTGTACTCTTCAACATTATGGATACTCGCCAAATCTCCATCCTCCTTCCTGCAAAAAGTTAGGGCATCTTTCCATATTTTGAAGTCTTTGTGAATTAGGTAACAGTGACCCGCATATGACATCCATTGAGTAGGACACGTAATAGGCATATCAGTCTCTGAAAGAAAAACAATAGTTAAAAGTTGCAGAAAGAAAGAAAAGTTTATTTTCATTTGTTGAGCACATCTGTCTGATATTTTGTGCTGCATTTGTGGTAAAAAAAAAAATGAGACAGAGAACAAATGAGACTAAAACATTTTTTTAAATATGAACATAAATAAAACAAATATATCCCAAAACACCACATTGATGAGATTACAGAGTAAGTGGTCAAAGCTAAGGAAATGCCATAATTAAAGAAGTCTGCACACCTTTAATTCAGCATCTTTTTGTATGTATTAGGATATAGTCTTTAATAAACCAGCTCTTTAAGTTAATTTCTCCCATACATTTCTCACTTTTCAACAATCAAATCAGAATTTCTCTTTATCTTCTATATTGCTAGACCCATTCTGAGGGGCTAGTTCTCAAAAACTGTATGCATGTTGTGGCGGGCGAGTGGTAGGCCGAGGCTATGACCAGTAGCCCGAAACGGCAGGCGGGTACTTTTATCGATGGAGCGGAATTAGGCATGGATGCGTATTGGTAACAAATTGATTGTTTACTTACACCACTGATGTATGGGCGCAGGCAGAGTTGACTGGCTTAATTGCAGTTACAAACGTAGAAAAGACACTCTCAAAGACACGAGAGAAACGAGATGAGATGAGAAGAAATCTCCATAATTGGCTTACTGCGGTACCGGGGTCGGGGTTACGTCAGGAGGGTCGTGTGACGGGGAGTCGCTGGTGGGTGATCAGTCCGCCAAGTTCACTCCAAGATGTGCGCGGAGTTCTCCGACTTGGGCGGAAACTGCTTTAACTTTTATATGACTAACAAGCCAATCGCTAGTCACCAAATATGAATAATTATAACCGGCCAATGGTGGTGTGCGTATTTGCATAAAGTTGGCGGGAACTTTTACTGCACCGGGGTTTTCTACCCTAGCGGAAAATTCCACTGTGGCGGGAAATTCCACTGTGTTATAGGTATCAAATCAAGGAAGCATTCCACTGTGACATGGGCACTCAACTACTGGGTTCTGACACGTGAGTAAATTCACTCCTGCACTTAAATATGTTATATGAGCCCCATACGTCAGCTTAGAAGAGATAAGTTGCTCTCTTGCAACAAGGGAAAAAAACAAAGAATTAAATTATTCCTTTAGGAATTCTTTATAAAGAATCCACTAAGAAAATTGGACACCAAAAGCAAATAACATGTTTTAAATGGTTTCTAAACTCATTAAATGAAACAGCACTAGAGAACTGTCAATCCTCCTGTTCAGTAAACTCCATAATACAATTGAGTTTTACGGAGGCTATCCATCAAAAAGTCTTAATAAACAGAATGTAAATATTTAGAAAACCAGTTATGATTTTGGTTGCATAGAATTTATCATTTTCATACATTTTAGCAAAAAAAAAAAGTTCTGTAGACTGAAACAAGAGCAGCAGACTTTTATAAATTGCAAGAAGATATCACCAGAGTTCCAAGATTTTATAATGTATATTGCTCGGTAGGAGAGGGGATGTGTTGAGCAGAAGAGTCAAGAGGTCATACTCTGAAAATAACTCATTGGGCACTGACAGCTAAAACCAACTAATCCCAGGTTGTAACTACTAATCCAGTTTCAGGTATGATGGTTTAGACAAGGAATAAACCTGCCTTGAACAAGGAACTAGATTAAATGGCCTCCTGAAGTCTCTTCCACCCCTACGTTTCTGTGAATCTATAAGGCACAATGCTGATTACTATACAATTTAAAAAATACACATTTATAGCTAGCTAATAAACATAGCCTGCAACTTTGTTGTAGGTCACTGAACATTTATCAGTGTATTTCTGCATACATCGGATTCCAATTTTGGAAAATCTATAAAACTCATCTAACATCTCTTTCCGCATAACAGACAGACACTTAGCTGTGATGGTTTAGTCAGGAATGATCCTGCCTTAAGTGGGGGGCTGGACTAGATGACTTTGAAGTCCTTTCCAACCTACTTTCCTATCATCCTATAGTCTTTGTTTTGCCAAATATTGAAAATGACTGCCAGCAGGTAAGTCTTGGATCCGCATACAATCAAAGACCTCATTAAACCTGAGGAGTGTGCCAAATACCATTTTTCAGACACAACAGAAGGAGGCTGGGAATTTACAGCTCAAGGCACTACAGCTGTCACACTGCTAGTTAAGCTCAACCTGAAGGTAATCCTAAACCTTGTACCTACTGACCATCTACACTAAAAATCCCTGAACTTGTAGCAAAACGCTGAGTTTTTCTTTTTTTCAACATTTTGAAATGCATTCCTGTCAACTATCTCTGACTTTTTCTCTCCCTCTCTATTCCCTATAGATAAGTATGAGTAAACTAAGACAGAGTGAGCTAAGACATGGGATAAGCTTTAGCAATTTTATAGCAAGTTTTTTTTTCCCTTCTTTCTCCTTCTTTGATCCACTGTTTTATATTGTATAATTATTATGTTTATATTGATTTTACTGTGGAATTACTGTTTTACTGATTTTTACCGGTTTTTTTTCTATTTATACTATATGATTTAGGCCTACATGTATATGTGCAGTGAGCTAAGACATGGGATAAGCTTTAGCAATTTTATAGCAAGTTTTTTTTTCCCTTCTTTCTCCTTCTTTGATCCACTGTTTTATATTGTATAATTATTATGTTTATATTGATTTTACTGTGGAATTACTGTTTTACTGATTTTTACCGGTTTTTTTTCTATTTATACTATATGATTTAGGCCTACATGTATATGTGCGGGAACGAATTTGCATACGGTGGCGGGAACTCTTTTGCACCGTGCATTTCTCTTGCAACTTGAGCAATGCACCCTGCAAAAGAAGCTGCAAATAGGCGGGAAACTCGTCCCTGCACGGGGGTTCTCCTCTGCAATAGGAAACTCTCCTGTGCAATGAAGCTGCAACTTGGCGGGGATAATTCTGGTGCCGAAGCACGCACAAAATCATGCCTTTGGGTCATGACAGTATAAGTTAGCATAAGTAATGTCAAGCTATGTCAAGTTTCCATTTTGTATGTCAAGCCTCCATCTTGTGTCCTCTGCCCAGGTGTAACCTATGACTCAGTCTCATGAAAATTGGTTCCTGAATGAATGGGTATGAATGAGGGTGCTTGAGATACAATGGTAGCAGGCCTCTACTGAATAATCAACTCAACAACTGGAACATCATCTCAATGACCCAACCATCATCCTGCACTGACCCTCCCTTGCTCAAGATTTGGAAGACAAAGACCGCTGCAGAAACCCACCATTTACAGACACCTGAAACTGCAGTGCTAGCCTGGAGTGCACATGCTCAGTACACCAGGGGCTGATCCTTGCCTGGGCATGCCCCTGCCACTAGAGTCATAGAAGGTCTTCCCCTATAAAAGGGGGCAGTGAAGACAGACCCAGTGGGACGCCCTCTCCAATATGGACTAGCAGCATGCCATACCACCTATTCACCCAGAGGCCTTGCCAGCAATAGCCTCTGGACAACACCTTGCTGGAGAAGACCCCAACTGGCCAACAAGGATCAACTCACAGCCCAGGATAGGTAGCTATCACCCACCTCCCTTTCCCAAGCAAAGGACCTGGACTGTGTCCCTACACACCTTGACTTCAGTTCCTCCACCAAGCCTTTTTCTCTCCTGCTACCATTGTATGTGTGTACATGTGAGTGCTTGTGCGCACGTGTCTGTAGGAACCAATAACTTTGTGGGGCTTTGTAGTGTGTTGTCTGTTTAATAAACCTGTTGTTTTGAAACCCCGAGTTGGGTTTTTGTCTTATTGACCTCCTGACCCTCCTTCCTTGATTCCCCAACTATCTCCCAGCTTTCTGCCTCTATTTCCTGACCCAATCTCCCAACTTTCTGCCTCTTTCCTCCTTGCCACCACTTATCTGCCCCCTCTGATCTCCCAGCTTTCTGCCTTTCAGTTTCCAAACCCCTGTCCTGATCTCCCAGCTTTCTGCCTCAGTTTGCAGCCCCCTCTCCCAGCTTTCTGCCTCTCTGTTTCCTGGCTATCTCCTCCTTGCCACCAGGCTTTTTCCCTTGCTTCTACCCCAGCACCAGGTGACCCCAAGTAACCCAGGGGCACATTAACCCTAAGTAACCCCAAGCCCCAGTGACCTCAAATAACCCTGGGGCCAAATGACCTTAAATAACCCCAGCTTCCCCTCCAGTCCGCTGGTTCTAATCCTGGCCCCGACAGCTTTCACTCCTGGCACTTTCACTCTCTTATTTTTCCCTCTCTCATCTTAACCCCTATCCATCTCCCTCCTTCCCTTCCTTCTGGAAATCTTTGACCCTTGATTCCCCCCCCATAGTCACCAAGCACCGTAAGTACCCCAAGCACATACATACACACCATATCACCCAAGTCAGGAACTCACGTGTGTGTGTGTGTGTAGGTATTCGGTATGTGTGTGAACTGGTAAATATATCATCGTGTGCGTGATATACGAATTAGTAATCCATTTATGTGTATTGAGTGTGTGGGTATTGACAACTGATTTTTGTCTAATTTTTGGTGTGTATAGTGTGTATGTTCTTGAACTGGTGATAGGTGTACATGTGCTTAGACTGGTAATCTTGGATGTTGTAGGTGCCTGGGGTGTGTGTATGCACCCAATTGATTTTTGTGTGTGTATATATGTGCAATTGGGTCACACCCTCCCGTCTAACAGCACAATTTTGAGATCCTGAGAGTTGGCCTGACCCCACAGGACAACAAACTCAATCCCTGGCACCAGTCCAGCCCTCCTCCTAGTCTACACATATATTCAGTACATTTGGAATTCACCCAGGCTTGAATGATTGTTAACAGTGGAAATCGACCAGCAACGATCCCACTGCTTCCTGATGCTCCTTCACCTTAGTTTCTCTTTTTTGCCCTGTTGTGCTTTACTAATTATATGGAGTAAGGACAGAAAGTATCTGCAGACCAATTATTAGAATTTCCCATACTAATATAGACAACTCTGCAAGGTGCTGAACTTTTGCTTTACTACATGAGCCAAAAAGCCAAACAAGACTTAAGATAATTAAGATGTGCACAAGCAAGACAAGTCAGCATGTAGAAGTCCTAGTCCCAGATGGCATATTCTACAATTGACTATAAGAGATGATATAGTTAAAGGCAGAAAGAACAAGGTAGAAAAACAAATGACACACATTTTAAATCTTACTGTGAATGCTAACATGTATGGCAGTATAGAACAGGTACAGAAATGTTGACTGATGCTGAACAGTAGGGAGTAAGTGACCAATATGTGACTTGCTAAAAAAGGATAACAACTAAGATAGTTGTACATTTGGAATTAACAGACTTCTAGTGTTAGAAGGCAAAACCTTAAGCTGAAACATGTTTAAGCCCTTTGTGACACTATACGTTTGTGTACATAGATAGATAGATATATTGGTCACTCACTACTGTTTAGCATCAGTCAACATTTCTGTACTTGTTCTATATTGCCATACACTTAGCATTCACATTAAGATTTAAAATGTTTGTCATTTGTTTTTCTACCTTGTTGTTTCTGCCTTTAACTAGATCTCTCTCTACACACACACACACACACACACACACACACACACACACACAGCTGTTTATGCACACAAATGTATAGTGTTACAAAACGGCTTCAAAACATTTTTAAGGTTTTGCCTCTTAACACTAGAAGTCTGTTAATTCCAAATGTACAAATATGTATCTATATAAAGAATATATATCTATATTTTAATTATATACGTTTTACAATCTTATATGTAATGTATATCTAGAATTCTAGGGCCCCCTTGTGGAAAAGTAGGGATAAGTATAACTACTGAGTTCATAAATATCCCCTCTACAAAAAGCAAAGAGCTTTGTGTGTACAACAAACAGTTTGACCCCTTGTTAATTGTAGTCTTTTGCATTTCATTTTGTTGTGGACTATAATGTATTGTGCATGCCACTACCCCCTACCCCTCATATATAACTTTGTGGCACTCATCTCAAAAGCTTCAGGGTTAACTTTAATGGGATTTCCCATGTGTTTAACATTATGTACTTGCATGTGTGTTAGAATCAAGTGGATTTTTTATCTTTTTTGGTCTCAAGAAGCCTGAAGCTACAAGGCATGAAGTGCCACCAACTTCCTTTTTACAGGAACGGGAGTTAGGGCATTTAACACCTTGCAGGATTATATCCTATTGTAACAGAGAGCCTCCCTGTTCCTTTAAGAGAGCATCAGGGGAGGGAGGGGTGCAGCTCTGCAAGCTGGGCAGGGCAGCTGCAGGTTGCCAGGGCAACAAGGCAAGGAGGCTAATCAGCAGGCACCTGCAGGCAGCCCAGGCTGTCTCTCCCTGGCAGCCACAGGCTGAAGACCTCAGGGCAGCAGGTTCCTTAATGGTCTGTGCAACCTATCTTATCATCAGGGATGATCTTGCCTGTGCAACCCCAGTGAGGCTTGGGGAGCCTGGGGAGCACACAAGGCTAGCCCAGGGCTGGAAGGCATGCTGGCACTAGAAGGGAGGGAAGGTTTGCCCTCTTTAAGGGAGAGAGGGCTGCTTCCCCATTTTATGTTATGTTATAGCTCAGGGGCTTATGTTTATGTTGTATTTACACTGGTGGTTTGGGCTGGCACTGTAGGGGAGGCATATGGAGGTCCCATTAGTACCCATGGGGCACATGGTCACCTTGAGCTCTGCCAAAGGCAGGCTAAAGGCTGGAGTGACTATTGAGCCTGGAGTGGGCATAGAGTGAGGCCAGAAACCCAGACAGAGGACAGGGGCCTAGTGCCCAAGAAGGCCAAACCAGAGCTGGTGCCTTGAAGATAGATCCGATACAATGGGCTCAGGCTAGAAGGCCTAGCTGAGGGGAAAGGGATGGTGGTCAAGCAGCCCAAAGCCCAAAAGGAGCTTGACATTGCAATAACACCTGCAAGGCTTGAAGCATGGTATAGAGAAGGACTGGAGCCATGCACTTAGCCCCTAAGACTTGAGGTGCCCTGCAGCAGCACACTTATAGAGTGAGGCCCAGCAAGGGGGCTGGAGTCTAGTGAGGACCAATAGGGTGCCAGGGAAACGTAGTGGGGGGGTTCAGTCGAACTGGGCCCACACTAAGGCCCAGGAGGCAGCCTCCCTTTTTAGACCCATAAGAAACAGCAAGGTGTGGTGGGTGAGAAAGAAGGGAGGGCACACTATGAGAAGAGTGAAGGACAGTCACAGCGCCACCAGGGGATGTCATAGTGTGGCAAAGAGGGGGTCGTTTCCCACTAGCCACAGAGCTAGTTTCCCACCTGTCTCACCCACCACGCCTTGTTGGTAATTAATTAAGTTGTTAATTAAGGTGGAAGGCTGGCCATTGTACACCCCGATATTGGGGGGGGGGAGGGTATCTGTTCCACTCCTACACTGTGGCCCAAGCCTTGCAGATGGCATCTCAGGCAGTTAGCACAACCATTGCCTTTGCCCATTAGCTGTGGACCCCAACCCTGGGGACCTTCAGCTTCCATAAGCCCTAGCCCTGTCTCAGGCCCAGCTGGGACCCCAAGCTCCTTAGCTCTTTGTGGGCATCCCTCACGGTGGGCCCCTGGCCCTTTTGACCCTTTGGTCCTGGCCCCAGCATTGACCAGTCAAGTACCTCAGCAGCGTTTTCACCTCCTGCCTGCACTTACGGATCGGGGCCCCCCCATTCCTGGCTCAGGTACACCTGGAAGTGTGCCTGGCCCTGTGGGGTCAGTCTCCCAGCAGGCTCAGGCGCCTCTAGAAGCTTACCTGGCCTACCCTGCCCAGATGGAATATAGCCCACCTGAAGGTGAGGGCTGGGGTTAAGGCGCCCCTATTCACCTTTCACCGGGGTGGTAACTGGCCTGGCATTTCCTGGGGGCTCCCGCACCACTGAGAGCCCCACCAGGCCACCCACTCCTGGCAGGGTGCAGTTTTAGGTCATGCCTAGGACCAGGAGCCTCCTGGCCATCCCCTACAGCTTCTGCCCTTACCTCTAGGATGTTCCAAGCAACCTTGCAGCCAGGCGATGTTACTGCCTGGCCTGCCAGCAGTAAATTACCCTGTTTATAGCAGCAGCCATGAATCTAAAATGCTGCCACAATTAAGCACCTGCTGGTCGCTTGGCTTGGCCCTTCATGTGGCAGGCACCTACAGCCATCCCTGGGACCCCAACATGCTACACCTATTCTTACTATGACTAACTCTCAGTGAACATTTTAGAAATTGCTTAATTATGCAGAACTCTGTCAAGAGCATATTGTAAATGTCATTACATTTACTTTGCAATTCCTTCATACTTAAGAAATGTTGTCTCTTTTCTTTCAGTCCTCCAAACTACCGCTGTCCTAAGAAGGGTACAGTAAGCCTAATGTATAAGAAATGAAGTGGCCACTGCTCCTGACTATAAATATAGATGTGATAAGAGACTGTACTTCATAGACAATTTATGATAAATCATATGAGAGGCTAGATGCAATATGTTTCTGTTTCTTCAGTAACTAAATCTGAATGTCTCTTAGCCATGTCATTCCCCAAGATACAATGGAGACCTTGCGCCTGCTTTTGGAAGGACACTTTATACAAGTCCTGGGATCTAATCAAGGAGAAGGCAAGCTAAAGGGGACAGGATGGGCCAAAACTGGGAAGGAACAACCATTGTTCCTCTTTCTTTTTGGGATTCCTTTGAAACCAATGGCTGCAAAGCATTGATAATGCTTTTAGCCTTTGTTCATCTTTGTAGGGCATATATGATATAGAAAGTAAATCAATAACCTCTATTTATTTTATTGATCAACGTACCTGAAGGAATAATGAAAGACTCTAAAGTGGCATTTCCTCTTTTACAAATGTAGCCAAGTTTCTGATTACACTCTTGGTTTTCCCATTTTGCACCTTTTGCTGGATTTAATGCTGCACAGATTTTTCCCGGCTCTGGAGAAGGGCTTCCTTGGAGAAATAGATTACAAAACCAAAGATTTTACATGCTGGTATATGACCATGTAACCAAAGAAAAGATCTTAGCAACCCTTAAGTAGGCTATCTTATCAGGGACCCTGGTTTTCTCCGATCTAAAAAAATCCCCAATTTTCAGGTTAAACCCCCCCCCCAAAAATCTACATTTTTCCATAATTAAATTTAAACACTACTAATACATATAAACATACATACATACATACATACATACATATATATAAATAATCGGGGTGTTTCATTTTGATCATGGAAAAATGTGGATTTTGGGTTACTTTTTTTAACCTGAAAGTTGGGGATTTTTTTAAATCAGAAAAACCCAAGATCTCATTCTTTCTTATCATTTCATTACCGCAGGCCCCTTCTACACATGCAGGTAAAGGCATGATCGGTTCTAATGTACAATCCACACAATCATGCCTCCTGCCATGCCACACAGGCATGTTAGGAGGCATGATTGTGGGATCATGCATTAGACCTCATCGCACCTTGTACTGTCAGTACAGTATTTGCCTACACTGGCAAATATGATGGGACTCTCAGCCCCAGTAGCACCCTACACACAGTCAGAGCTGAGAGTTCGGCATCTGATAGGACTGTCAGCCCCAGGTGCACCCCACATATAGCCAGGACTGAGAGCCCCACAGCTAATGGGAGTCCTGAGCTGTCAGCTGACAAGACTCTCTGACCTGGCAGCTATGCCAGGACAATCTCCCAGCCACATGGGTATATAGGGTATCCTGCAGCTGGGAGATCACAGCAGCTGTGGTCTCCCAGCCATGAGGGGGACAGGCTGTATGTGCAAACTAAAGTTGGACAGAAACCAGCTATAAAGTTATCACACATTTTCCAACAATAACTTAATAGCTGGTTGGCCCTTTTAAAGGAGCCATAGCTAATTTGCACATGTAGCCATTCTAAAATAACCATGAAATTAACCAGGCAATTGTGCAATAGATGTAACATGTAGAGGGGGCCATGTTGTTTATGAAGAATTATCCTCAAAGCTCAGGCCGAAAAAAAATGATGCAACTCCCCTAATTACTCATGCATGATGTAAAATTTATCATCTGCGTTAATTAGCAGTGAGATTTTTAACTATGTTATCATTTAAATAATTGCTAGCATTTATCATTAAACAATTCTTCAACATTATTGGGCAATTCATACCTCTCAATAGTTGGTCTTTGAAGCCCAACATTTTATATAGTTCATATTTTGAAAAAAATGTTTAGAGGGTTCCCCCCCCCCCACACACACATACCACATCTCCTAAAATGAGATCACATGGAGTCTGGGGCACATGATTCAGAAAAGTATAGGTTCAGGGATCTAGCCAGATCTAATACTTGATTATCATTTCAATTACCTACTGTCATTTGAACAATCTTTACTTAGCTGCAAGAACTGAGAATAATTTCAGATTTCCTATTAATTAGCCCAAGAATGAAAACAAGATTTATGTTAGAATATTTGATGCTAGAACTAGCAAGGGATTTTTAGCAGGAAAAATACAAACTATATTAGACCAGGAGCAAAATATTAGGTGAAATCACTAAAATAAGTTAGAGGGTTTCTTTCTAGATCCACTATAATGTGGTTAGATTATTGCATTTTTCATTTAATTTTTGAACAAATATACTATATGTACAGGAGAAGGCGTGTTTAACTTTATCCTGGCCATTAAGTTATTCTAATAAAAGACATCATCCCCCAAAAATCCTTGCTTCTCACATAATTCCTGGACCATTACAGCTACAATCTCACCCTGACATTAACAAGAAATAAGATTTGGGGAAATTTAGAAGATACGTGAACACAAGGTACCACCCTGACCTACCTTCTGCATGAATACAACAGAAAAAAAATCTATGCTTTTTAAATATTTTCTCAGGTTCTCCTGAATAATATCTATTTTGTGTTATAAATTGAATCAAGAATTCTGTTCTTGATGCAGCAGATCTCATTGCCAGTAGTTATGATCATAGTCGGTTTCTTTTAAAAATTATAGAAGTTCTGTGCAGGTAAGAGCGCGCAATACCAAGACTGAAATCCACTATGAGGATTGATAAGCAAAATTTTGCCTGAGATGGATTACCATTTATACCTGGGGTGGACAAAATACAGCCCACAGGCCAGATCCAGTCCACCAAGTGATTCTGTCCAGCCCATGACAGGTCCCTAGGATCCACCCAGCACAGGTGTGGGAGGGAGGCCAGGCTGCGGTGCATGCGGCTGGTCTCTCTGCTTCCGGGTGCAGAGGTGCCACCTGGTGCAAAGCACAGCCTGTCCTAAACCCCGCCCCGTGTGGCTCTCAGGCACACCAGAAGCTGTAATCCGTGAGGCCGGGCATCATAGCAGCAGGACAAGGGCAGAGGCAGGGTTGGTATGGTGGTTGGATTTGGCTTCACAACAGCCCCTGTGGCAGCAGTGGCTTCTCCCAGCAGCTACTACCAATACCTCTGCTGCCCAGGCACCCCACACCCACCACCAAGGGCACCAAACAGAGCAAGCAGGGTGGGGTCTCCATGAAGACTGGCCCAGAAACCCCATAGGCAGGGCACACTTGGCAGATGGCCAAGTGTACCCTGCTGAGAAGGGCCAGGGCCAGCTGAGAAGAGGTGTCTGGGAGCAGGATGGGTGGGTGTTGCCACAGCTGGGATCACTGGATAGTGACAGTGTGGGGCCCAGGCTCAGGCCTGCAGCAGAGCCATAATCCACTCCCTGCAGGTCCCTGTGACAGGTGTCAGTTCCAACCTGGCACCCATCGCAAGGACAGGCGGAGAGCAGATTGCGGCTCTGTTCCAGGCCCCAGCCCTGTACTATCACCACCTCATGATCCCAGCCCAGCCTCTGCCTTGACCCACCCACCCATCTCGTTCCCAGATGCTGCTCCCTGCCCGCCTGCATCCCCACACCATCTACCTGGCTGAGCATGCCCTGCCCATGGAGAACCCGATCCGGTCTCCATAGAAACCCGGCCTGCTTGCTCCATCCTGCACCCCTGGTGGTGGGTGCAGAGCAGACGGGCCCAGGGCCAGATAGGATCCACTACCATCTCCTTGATTCTCCCCCCCCCACCTCTGCCTGGTTGGTAAACAGCTGTGACAGGGAGCCAAGGCTGGGTCATAAGCACTTCCTGCCCCCAGCCCTCAACAGCTCACCAAAACTCTGTAACTGGCCCTCCAGCACAAATAATTGCCCGCTCCTGATTTATACCTACCTGGGACCCAGTTTAAGTATCTGAAAGGACTGCCCCCACTCCATTGCCATCCACTGTTGAAATTCAAACTATTAAGACCAAACCAGAGTGCAGCACTCAATCTTCCAGTTAATCCTAAATAACAAAGGAAAAAATAATAGCATAAAATGTTAGTATTAGAGGTGCAAAGCAATAGTAAACCCTATCCCAGCCTATGGAGTAATAATAACTATAAAGAGGATTTCTTGCAGCTCACATTATCTATAGTTTAAGGACTGAGCTCCATCTATTTCCTGTTTTCATTTCACATTCTGCACAAAACCACATTGTTCAGAATAATATAGATCAGATATATTTCATTTCAAATTATTTAGCACTAAAGGAAAAGTAAGCATAAGTAGTGGGGGTGTTTAAATGTTCATCTTGGTTTTAGAGGCATTAATGATTCTACCAGTGTTCCTCGTTTTAATTGTAGGTAATTTCACAAGAATCAATAATGCCTGTAAACTGAATGAAAGTTAAGTGTCTACCCAATAAAACTACGCTCATGAATATGAAAATAAATACTGTATTCTTAAAGCTATAATGCAAGATCCACGTTAATGAAACATTAGAAATGTAAAAGTTAAGGTTCCAACTGTAAGAGTTAACTTATCTGCTCGTGGAATTTCACTGAATTTAGTAACAAACTAAATATTTAAATTAAATTTTTACTATTTTAAAATTGTCTTAATATGCACAACCAGTCTTCATAGTCTAGCAAGCTCCATTGTAAATAGTTCCATCCTGTTTTGTCTTATTTTTTTTATTTTTATCATCTCTGGTACTTTCCTCTGTTTCAGCTACTTTTAATTCTTCACTTATTTTCCTGTTACTGAAGAAGTCTTTACTAAAACCAATTGTCAAATTATGGGTCCAAAAATAGTTATAAGTAAATTCACATAGAACCCTATTAAATTCACTAGAACTATTCACATATATTGGGACAGGTTATTACTCAGTAATTTACCTCCTGCTTCCCTTTAAGACTTTGGAAGATGAGTTACATGAATACTGATTTTCAAATTTTAACACACCAGAAACAAATCATTGTACTAGTATATGTCATTTATTTCTGTTGTATTAATGCAGTGGTACTCACAGGCCAGATGAATGGGGAAGCCAGTTCACCGGCTGGATCAGGACCCATACCACCTCCCCCCCCTCCCCCCCCCAGGCACCAGAATCAGGCCCCCAGACCCCATGATGCCTCTGCCCAGCCCCCATCTGCAAGTGTCAGGCCTCAGGGCCCTACACTACCCACGCCAAGCCAGATCAGGCTTTGAAGGCCCCATGTTGCCCCCACCTGGCCCATATACCACCTTGTTCGCCCAATTTACCTTTGAGGATAATATTTCCAAAATGTAAACATTTGATAGAGTATAATACAAGATTATTCAAATCCTAGTCTTGAAAAACAGTGTTTGAATTTACAAGCATAGGGCTGAAATTTGGCAATGTTAAATGAGTCAAGAATGTAACAGCACAGGAAACCTAGGAGAGCCCTGCCTAAACTGGGATTTCTGGGTAAAGAAAAGTTGTTTTTCATATGCAGTTGGACCATGATTAGCAGCAAAGTATCTTGGTGTTCAAATAAAAAGTATGCTTCTCAGTTTTCTTATACTATTCCTAACTACATTCCTAGACTGCTCTTCTGAACTTTAATTATAATGATAATTTCACATTAAATTCAGACCTTCAGTAAATAGCTTTCTGAGTTTGCTGGGATTTTTAATTTGAAAATAATAGTTAATGTAAAGCAGACTATACAAACTATTAAATACACTTAATAAACAAATGTGTATTAATATATTACTAAAATCAGACATACTGCACAGTACCACATGCTAAAGCAAGATTTACTGCACAGGAAATTGTCATCCAACTAGAGCAGGGGTGGACAAAATCAGGTGTGCAGTGGAACCAGGGCAACACAGTGGCTGGACTCAGCTTTCCGGCAGCCCCCACATCAGTGGCTCAATCTGCCCAGTTGCTGCTGCCAGTTTCTCTGCTGCCACTGGTGGACCTGGCCTGCTGCCCAGGCACCCCACCCTGTCAACCCCTGTACCCACCACCATCTCCATGGAGATTGGCCCATGCAGGCAGGGCGTGCTCAGCTGGGCAGTTGGGATGGGGCCACAGCCAGGTGGGTGGGGAGCAGCATCCAGGAATAGAACAAGTAGGAGAGGGCTGGGGCCAGGATCATGGGGTGGTGACAGCACAAGGCTGTGGCTAGGGGCAAGGCCACGATCTGCTCCCCACACGCCCATGCCTGTAGAACCAGCATCCACTACAGGGACATATGGGAAGTAGATTGCAGCTCTGCCCCAAGCCTCAGACCTGTACTGTCACTGCCCCACAATCCTGGCTGCACCTGCCCACCTTGCTCCCAGACCTTGCTCCCTGCCCACCCACAGCCCCATCTCATCTGCTTAGTCAAGCATGCCTTGCCCACCACAGTCCCAGGCCAGCCTCTTGGAGACCCTGCCCACTCTATCCAGTACCCCCAGCAGTGGGCATGAGGCGGATGGGCCTGGGGCCAGATAGACCAATTGCAACCCAACCTCTCCCACCATGCCAGGCTAGGTCAGCACCCCATCCCCACAGTGCCTGTAACAGCTCGCCAAAACTCCTTAAGCAGCCCTCCATCTCAAATAATTTTCCACCCCCAAACTACAGTAATACATTCAAAATATGTTCACAATAACTGAATCAAGTTATTGTGAGGATTAAATTAAACCATGTAAAGTAGCTAAAGATGTAGTATTCTATTCAAATGTTATCACTCTAATGAGGTACATAACAATATATAGAATGCATTTAATTACTTTACCTGCCAGGTACGTTTGTTCATGCAACTCTGTGATACTTAATAACTCTGCATTCTGTTGATGACAGCTTTTTCTTGCCTGGTGCCATGTTAGTGCTGACTGGGAGTTTATCTGGTAATGGGCTCCTGTCAAAGGATCTATATTCCACAATGTATCACTGCCACTAACTGTAAGAAGAAATTTGATACAATATTAATGGAGTTGGTTCACTTTTCTTAAAGTGAACTGGTAGTAAAAAAAAAACAAAAAACTAGCTGTACCCTATGGTAAAAAATCTCATGCTAATTATGGCATTATAAAGACATGAAACTCGTATGACAAAAATCAGCATAAATTAGAGGTCAGTCTTTGTTCTTTGGCCATAGGAAAGAAGCTGAAATTTCTGCAGCCTAAATTAGAGGGTTTTGAGATGCAAACTATGCAAATTTTTGACAGAAGGTGGACTTTTCCATTTCCTATTCTCAGAGACCTTACAAAACTGCAGTGTTTAAATAAGAGGAAAGCATTACAATAAACAATACTCAAAACAAAAGATAGTATATGTTAAGTGTCAGTAGGTCAGTAACCAGTTCCACCTTTTCCTGTATTGGACCTGATAGCCTACAGACAATATGAAATCTTTACTGATTACCCTTGCACAACAGGAATGAAAGTCTGATGTAATATATGCTATGCTGGAAAAATTATTGGAGCAAAATACCATGTCCATGTCCAAACATATTATGAATACAGGAAGATGTAATTTATTTGGTATATTGTCTTCTATATAAAAACACTGTCAATTTGTAAAAGGTTAGGCATGCAGTAAAATGGAAATAATTGATTGTATTTGAAATATTCGCTCTAACAAAAGTAAATCCTGACCTGTTCAGGCAGACTAAAACTCTTACAATTCTGCTTCACTAGCAGCCATTTTTCTGCAATAAAATTATTATAGGTAGATAGGAAAACAAATCTATTTGATACTCCAAAAACTTAAATTTATGTTTGTAGCTACTAGTATATAACTAGGGGTGGGCGAATAAGGCACCAGCCTACGGCACCAATTTAGAGGGGGCACAAGACTGGCAACCGTAACCAGGGCCGTCTCTGAGGGGGGCAAATCGGGGTGACCATCCCAGGCCCCGTGGTTTGGGGGCCCCACGGAGCTGGGCAGAGCAGTGGCGGTGCAGAGCTGGGCAAAGCAGTGGCTCTGCATCTAGCTGCTTGTTCTCCCCCCCACCCCCACTCCCTCCCAATGGCGGTGGCAACTTCTTCAGGTCTGGGACCGTGGGATCGGAGCAGAGACAGGGCCTCACATGGGCTGATTTGCCCTGGGCCCTGCACCCTGCTTGAGTCACCTCTGACCACAACCACAGACAATGACCAGGCACAAAAACTGCTTGTAATGCTTCTGTTCAGAGCCTTCCAGCAGCAATTTTCATGAAGAGTTAAGGAGCACACAACAGTTTCAACTTTAAACTCTCCAAAAATCAGTCTTAGGAGAGCTCAGATCACTGTTCTGGCCAGTCTTCACAAGACTGAGTCTGAAATATGTCTGTACCACAAGCTTACTGTGCCAAAGAGCCATGTGCTTAGCCACAGCTGTGCTGCTTCATGTAAGCAACATTCCCAACCAGAAGTAGCATAGCCATATTCACATGGTGCTGCAGGAGGGCTAATTAAGAGCCGTGACTTATTAGCTCTCCTCTACGCTAATCAACCGAGCACCAGACAGACAAATTCTGGTTGAGGAATTAACCATGTTCATGAGGGGCTTGTCATGTTTGTCACTGCCTGGCATAGGAAGTTTGTAGCAAAGAGGTCTCTCCAGTTAGGCTGCTTTAGATTAGGCAGAAGGCAGGGCAGATTTTCACCTTATAGACTAACTAAGATTTAAGGTGCACAGCTACCCTGCTCTCTGCCTGATTTCAGACTAACACAGTTAACTACCTCTCTCTACTTCAGATTACTCAGAGTATCAGACCTTCAGGAAGAATGGACAAGTTACATTTTCTAAGGATAACTGAGTTGAAAGCCCAACCTAAATCAGCTCCAAATGCATGAACGGCACATTTTTCTTCTGCTGCACACATGACAAAAAAAAAATCCACTGTACATAAACAGCATTCAATTTTCAAATGTTTCTAAGTCACTAAAAAGTAGCTATTTTCATTACAAAACCAGGCAGCACTACTCTGAAAGCCCCAGAGATCGTTTATGAGCAAGTCACAAGGTTACTTTATCCTTATCCCAAACATTCCTCAGACTTAAAGCAAAACAAGATGCTTAAAAGACTTGGTATAGGATCCATGTATGGAAAATTTCATTTCTAAAAGCAAATATTGCAGGGAGGGCAAATATTTGTTATTACTGTTCTGACGGAAATTTGGAAAACTGAAAATCAGAATAAGCTCTTCCTTCCTATTTTATGAAAGAGTTTTAGTGGTCTAGAAACTTTTACTCCATGACTGCAAGTTGAAATCCAGCCTATTATTAGTCCTGGCTCTGCTCGGGTCTAGATTGCCCATCAGGTTAGCCAGGTTAAGGTACACTAGTTTCTGTAGCCAGTGGCATAGAACAAAACAATGCATCTAATATCTTATCCATTGTCTTTGACTCCCCAGTCTGATTAACCTGGGGGTGATTTTTGGCAGAAAGTTCATATGCTTACATCTGGACTCTCAAAGGGACACCTTAACCACTCTGCCACTGCCATCCCCATTATGGCTGTAGAAGTAAAAAATGTAGTGGCTATTCTGAGACCTGTGTGAGGAAATGAATTGCCTCAGTCTAGTTTCCAGTGTAGAAATATTACTGTTCTGCAAACTACCCCTATAGCTGTCACTTGTTAGCATGCTTAGCGGACACCACAAAGGTAAGAACGTCAGTAGACTGTGACTGAATATAAAATACTGTCAGATTTACAAATCTGATTTACATCTATCTAGCTCCCACACCCTGAAGTAAATAAGCTATTTTTAATGCACAGGATCCAGACACGTAACGAAATGCTATCTCCTTTCTACCAGGGGACCCAAACTAACATTCACAACTGCAAATGGAGTCATGGCAGTTACAAGTAGAGTCAGAAGTCCCACTAGACTAATTCCTCTGAACTCAGAAAAGCCCTCTATGCTCATAATTAAGTGGGGACTTAGTATCTCAGCTGCCCGTGTGCCTGTAAGTGAAAGCTAAACCACGCAATTCAGTCCAGTTTCATTCATCCCTCCATAGGGTAAGAGCAGGACATTGGAACAGTTACCATGGAGAAGCAGCAGCATTATAAGCTCTTCACACCCAGCAAACTATAGGCACACACATATAGAGTTGCAGAAAATTATTGATCTGTAAATTGAAAACATATGGGAATCACTGGTCTAAAGTGTCTGAAAACTTCCTTTTCCAGCTCACCTTCTACCTTTCTTCCCTGAAACAGCTTCTTTCCTTCCACTCCCCAAGGAATTCAGTCCTAGATACACTTGTGGAGTCCTATGCCTATTTATAAATATTAGGCTAATTAAATGAAGAAAGAGAAACAATACCAAGTGACTTAGGAGACCTATTACACAGCATAAGTACTGAATCATGAATAAACTTCCAGTGAGCAATCTAAAAAAGATTTCAGAAAGAATAGCAAGTATGGCAGAAGACCAACTTGGCTCAGGAGGAAACTCTTCAGTGAGGTAAAACATTAAAAGGAAGCTTACAGGAACACCTTGGACAACACCTAGGGAGGAGTATAAAAAATATTGCCTGGGCATGCAGGGATGACATCAAGAAGGCCAAAGCACAAAGCAAGTGGCATTTAACTTAAGTGGCTAATTAAGTGGCTAATCCCTCAAATCTCTCACGTGGTTATAAACCATTCCAAAGAATTTGGACCTTCTGGGAAAGCTCTTAGAAATAAATATGGTGAAACCATTAGAGTTTTATTGAGCCATAACAGGGTGAAATGGAAATTATGATTCATAGATTTCTAGAGTACAGTTATCTACAATTTGCTACAAGTTATGATGGATGATTAGTATCTAAGTATTAAGCTTTAGACAATGCTTTAAAAAGCTCTTAGGAAAGTTATCACTTTTTTATTAATTTCTACAGGACATTTACACAAGAGGCAGAAATTTACAATAAAAAGGAAGGGATTGTGAAGGAGATGTGTACTGCTCCCTACTTAGCTGGAGTAGCAAAGTCCAGCAAGTAACATTGTCTTCTAAAGGAAGGAGCAGGAGCAAAGTATCCTGGGATGCTGGGGAAAGCCAACAGGTGATTCAAAGGATAAGACTACATTAGGTAAGACTATTTTATTACTATTAATACTGGATCAGTAGTTATTTGGAAAGTAGACTTTTAAAGGAAAAGGAATCTCAAAAATTAATATATTTTTGCATCATAAGTTTGCTTACAAGTCAATGGGCTATAAAAGGGGAAAAGGTACTGCCCTTTTACTTAATCAAATTTTATTTGATGTAGTTTCATACTAAATTTTTTGCTCAGTTGGTTCTTACTTATGTAAGAATGATATTTCATTTAATATTCATTGATCATGGTGATCCACTGCTGAAATCTAGCTTTGCAATTCTGAATTATTTGTGAAAGTTCACTTACATATGAACTATTTAAAATCTTAATTAAAGCTGAAATGACACTTTCTTGTAAGTTCCTGTTTTCAACATTTTTTTAAAAGCAGCTACCAATTAGCTTGAGATAAAATATTTATTCTGATTTTAAGTTTGAAGAAACTTTTGTTTGCCATTTTTAAAGCACAGCTGTTCATATACATACAATTATGTTTTTCTGATTTTAAAAATATATTATTTCTACATCAATGTAAAGACATTCCATTTTTTCATTGTACAGTAAGTAATAAGATTATGTAACATTTCCTTATACATAATCTGCTAAATAATATGCTTCATTACAAAGTAAAAAACTTACATTTCAGTGGACAAAATCCATACATCTTGTCTACATCAAAGTCTGATGTTGTTCCACACCAGAGCCAGCCATCTGATCTTCCCACATCTGTACACTCAGCGTACCATTGGCTATTGAACTTGAAAGGGAATACACAGGGTGCTCCATTGGCATTGCCCAGTAGTGAAAAGAGATCTAAAGAGATACAATCATGCAGAATGAGACATCATAGTTATGTATATTGTCTACTATCCTTATCATAATATGGGGGAGACAGCATCATATCTTAGCATGAAAAATAAGAGCAAATACTTCATAGGGTTTGCACATTATCAACAGTTAGGAATATCAGTGATCATTGTATTTCCATAACACAACATAAATGTTTTGTTTTCTTTCTACTAATCCAATCAATTATTGACAATATTAGGTAGAGAAGAGATGTGCAACTGTAAACTAGAAGGATATTCACAAAATGGTGACCCAAATGCTGCTGTTCTTAGATTTTTGTCTAATCAGCAATTCAAGATTGGACTTATTAAAAAGAAATAATTTACACAAAGATTAATATACTGGGATATACAGTGTGTAAATACTGGAAGAAATTGTGTCTCAAGAAAATTCTCTCCCAGAGCTCCACAATGATACAAGAAGTAAGTGTACAATAATGGTGCACTTACTTCTCTCCCCTTATTGTTCCCCTTCTGCCCTGCTTAGTTTCAAGCATTTTGCTTGCAGTGGACTTTTACGCCTCCACTGACCTGACCTAGGGTCCACTTCCATGACCAGCCCTTGTACAGAACTTCTCATGTATGCCCTCTCTGTGTCTCTGTAAGGTCTAATCACAGACTCCCTCCTAATAATTTATGCATTAAAAAATCACTTAGGGTATATAACTTCATTTAAACTAATTAAAGTTTGGCTTGTTTTCTTACATGACCAGTCATCTTGGAGCCCTATTAGAAATTAGTGTTCAAAGTACAGGAGAACACTAAATTAGCAGTTGTATAATCTTCATAATGAACACATAATAATCACATATAAACATGTAATTCTCTCTTAGCTCCAAAAGAAGAAAGACATAAATAACAGATTGTGTGCATTCTCAGTGTTTCCATACATGCAGCTACACAGCACAAATAGCAGTAACATTCATTAGGTACTATATTTATATAATTATTCATTTACCCGCTGTAATTAGAATTGCCTTTTCAAATTAATTACTTGCAATGTCATTTCACTAATAAGGACTGATCCTTT